GGCTTCCCATAGAGCAGGGAGCCCAATGTGGGGCTCGATCCCAGCACCCTGGGACCATGAACTGAGCTGAAGGCAGACGCTTAATGACTGAGCCACCCAGGCACCCCGGCCCTGGCTTTTAAAGCCTCTTTTCTACATGCCTTAAATTCTGTATCTGTTTATTTTTATTTTTTATATTACTCATTTGTTTATGCCATGGTCTGCAGTTATTTATCTCGCTGTGTTGTGGCTGGCTGTATACCTCTCGGACCTCTCCTAATCAACTGTGAGCACCTGAGAGATGGATTGCCTTCATCTTCAGTCGTCACTCAGCAACATCCCCATCACTCCACCAGATTATTCCCAGGGGTGCCTGAGTGGCTCAGTTGGTTAAGCGTCTGCTTTCAGCTCAGTTCATGATCCTAGGACTCTGGGATTGAGCCCCACATCGGCCTCCTTGCTCAGCGGGGAGCCTGCTTCTCCTTCTCCCTCTGCCTGCAGATCTGCTTACTTGTGTTTTCTCTCTCTCTGTCAAATAAATAAATAAAATCTTTAAAAAAAGAGGATTATTCCCAAAAAGGTTGCTACAATGTTTGCTTTGTTTTCCTTAGAAAGTAGAACCAGGGCGCCTGGGTGGCTCAGATGGTTGGGCGTCTGCCTTCGGCTCGGGTCATGATCTCAGGGTCCTGGGATCGAGTCCCGCATCGGGCTCCCTGCTCCTTGGGAGCCTGCTTCTCCCTCTGCCTTTCTCTCTCGCTCTGTCTCTCATGAATAAAAAAAAAAAAAAACTTTAAAAAAAAAAAAAAAAGAAAGTAGAACCAGACTTAAAATGCAGACTAGAGATGAATTATTTGTCCATAACTCTATAGTAGCCTATTTTATGTTTATTTTTGCCTTTTCAGTCTCTTCTCTGCATTTTTACTTAGTTATAAACATAGTATGTGTCTTATTTATCATATGCAGTATAGTGTATTTTCTTCGCCGCTGCCTGCTTGTCGCAGTTCTCATCTTTAATGGGTCTTTAAAATTTCACCAAGTAGTTATAGCATCATGTCCTTACACATTTCTTTACCTTTGGATATTTATGTTTCTTTCCCCAATTTTTAATACATATGGTTATAATAATGATAGATTATATACATTTACAAATTAAAAATACCAGAGTCAAAATATCAAGTGATAGGGTGTGGTGGAATTTGAGGACACAATTATCGGGCTGTACAGGAGATGCCCTGTAGTCCACACTCACAAACTGGTCCAGGACAGGGTGCAGAAGCCTGTAGTCACAGACAGGAGGTCTGTGTTTACAAGTGTTTCTTCCCTTCTGTTTTGACATGTGATATCTGAGTAAAGAAACAGCATAGCACAGAGGAAGGAGCCAAACATTTGGTTTCAGAAGGTCCTGCTACCAGCTGAGCTCTGTGTTCTTGGTGTGGCTTTGGACCTTAACAGCCCTGACTACGTCTTCATCTGTATGGAGGATGTCTGTGACATATGGTTCTTATAAGAATCTAAGGAAAACCAACAAGCAAAAGTAGATAGATTCGTGGAATCCTTACTGTGGGCCAGGCACTGAAATTTTCTTGTGTTAGGTCACCGAATCCTTAGAGCAACTGTGTAAGATAAGCTGAAAAAGGCTGAGTAACTTGCTTTAAGTCATACAGGTAAGTGCCATGATCCAAACCCAGTTCTTCCATATTACACATTCCAAACTCCTTTGTGCTGTCCTTCCTGGAGAGAGATCACACAGCAGATGAATCTCGTAACTAATGCAGAAGACCCAATTCCATAGTCTCTACACCAAGGAAAGTTCAGAGAAGAAGATTTAGAAAAAGAACATATTGAGATATTTAGAATATTTTTTATTATTGACCAATATTTCATAAAACTACTTAAATCTTTGATAAAGAAGCAGTGAATCCAGTTGTCAAAACCTGACTTCAAGGTATGGCCTTGGCATGTGACAAGCAAAAAAAAAAAAAAAAAAGCTGTAGATGGAGAATTAACAGAATTGTAAGTTCGCATACAATGAATCGAAAGAGCACCAATAAAAGTAGACCTTTGTAAAAAAATTAGGCTTGATTACATCCCAGGAGCTATGGCATTTCTGAGGAGATGGAAATGTTACAGAGCTGGAGGGAAAGAGAGAGAGGCCAGTCCTTCTTGCAAGGTGAGGATGAAACAGAATGAGGTGTAAGCCAGGGCTGAGAGACTCACTGGGAGATAATCTGTAGTCTTTTAGACAAGTAAAAAAGGAAGCTATCATATTACAGAAGTAGATTTGACAAGATTTATTAATTTTTGACATTTTTTCCCTAAACTACAAGTCAGATTGAGTTAGAATATATTGTGTAGTGTTAGGAGCATTTGTTTTGAAATTAGTTGTCCTGGGTTTGGAACTCTAGTCATGTACCCCTTGGACAAAATCTTCATTTTATTCATCTGTAAAGTGGGGAGAAGAATAGTATAACATTTGGGGCATAGGCTGGGCAGGATTAAATGAATTAATGCAAATCAGTGGCTTAACACAGAGTAAGTATAATGGTACCGAGTACTCTGTGTGTGTTTATTATTATTATCATGTCACACCCTGATTAAACATCTGCTACTGATCTTCACTACTATTGGATAAAGTCCCAAACTCTTGTAGTACTCTATGATCTGGCTCTGTTCCGCTCTATAATCTCTATGTCAAAGGTCCAGATGTCTTCAAGAGCCTGGCAGGTACAAAGCAAGCTAGGTGAGGCTGTGGCAAACTGAGGGCCACACATCCCATCAAAAGGGGACACCTGCTGTTCACTCTGGTAGCTCTTTGCTTTCTGGGAAGATGAGCCTAGTGTGGTTACCTTTGAAGAGATGTCAGAAACCTGGACTTCACATGAAATCTCCTAATTATTAAATGTGAACAACTACATCAGAATTCTAAGACCAAACAAAGCCCATCTGCGGGCTGGATATGGTTGCCATCTTGCCCCCTCTGCTTCATGCCCTTCCCAGCCTTGCAGACTGCTTAGTTTTCCTGCCATAAATTTTATTCCTTCATGCCTTAATGCTTTTTAAAAAAATGTTGAATATTATTGACACACAAGGTTACATTAGTTTCAGGTGTGTCACATAGTGATTCAACAAGTCTGTACATTATGCTGTGGTCACCACAAGCACAGCTGCCATCTGTCCTGATACATCACTCTTACATATCATTGACTACTTTCTTTATGCTGTCTTCTATTCCCGTAATTTATTCATTCCATAAATGGAAGCCTGTATCTCGCACTCCCCTCCACTCATTTTGTGCCCCATCGTTCACCCCCCTCACCTTTGGCAGCCATCAGTTTGTTCTATGTATTTATAGCACTACCTTAGTGCTTCTAGATGTGCTAGTCACTCTGCCTAGCTTGGCCTTGGTTCTTTCTCTCTTGAACTGGATTGGTCTTTTAGACTTGGCTCAGCCTGTTTTCTCTGAATTAATTACTTCCTCCTTTGTGATGCCAGAGCACTTCATAAGATCATTCATTCTGTTGTAGTGCTTAAGACATTAATTTGTTTTTTATTTAGAAATAATTATTAAGCACCAAAGTGCGTACCAGCTACAGCCATAAACTGGCATCCCTGTTCCCCTGGTGCCTATATTCCACCGTGATCTTCATGTCAGTCCTCCGATGAGAATGTGAGCTCATTGAGGGCAAGGACCATGTGCTGTTGGTCTGGTTTCCTCAAATAAGCTCAGTTATCCAGATACCAGGTATGAGTGTCCTCTTGCTGCTGTAACAAATTTCCACAAACCTTCTGTCTTAATACAAGCTTATTATCTTACAGTAATGGGGGTCAGAAGCCTGAAATGGGTCTCACTGGACTAAAATCAAGGTGTCAGCAGGGCCGAGTTCCTTCTGGAAGCTCTAGGGAGGAATTTGTTTCTTGCCTTTTCCAGTTTCTAGTGGCTGCCTGCGTTTCTTGGCTTGTGGCCCCTTCCTCCAACCTCAAAGCAAGAAGTGTGGCATCAAAGTCAATCTCTCTATGACTTCCTTTTTTCCCCTCTCTTTTCCACTCATAAGGACGCTTGTGATTACATTGCCCACCTGGTTACGCCAGGATACTCTTCTAATCTCAAGGTCATCTGGTTAACAGCTGTAATTCCATTTGCAACCTAAATTCCCCCTTGTCATGTCATGTAATGTACTTCTAAGTTCTGGGGAACATATTCACATAGGCATCTTTGGGAAGGCCATTATTCTTCCTACCATAACTGGGAAGCTAAATGAATGAATGAATGATGAATGAAACTCTTAGAGGGTGGGAACCAGTTGTGCTAGCCACAGAAGGCAGAAAAAGTAGTAAATACCTCTAACCTGAAGGAGTTGATGGTCAGCTGGATTGGGGAGTGGTAGTGCTTGGGGATCTTCCAAACCTCCCTTCTCAGATTGAACATCTCTGTCTCCTGCTGGCTTTCCCTGAAATCCCAGATTAAGGTCAGATCCTTGTTTTGTGCGCTCAAGGCAGCCTCCTTTGGAATATATCCTCACACTTGTGATGCTAGTTCAATAAATGCCTTCCACTAAATCTTATGGGTAATGCGTACAATAAAATGTATTCGTCTTGTGTCTCAATGTGTAACACTGAGCAGAGTGCCTGGCATATGGTAAGTGTTCAAAACTTTGTTGAGAGAAAAAAACAAATGAATAAATAAATGAAGAATTAGAGAAAAATGGAGTGTTTAACTCACCTACTATTCGTTCTGCCTTTGAGCTTTGTAACGTGGGACCATAGACTTTCTAACATGGCACCAAAATTGGGAGGGCGAGCATATATACTTTTTTCTCATTGGGGAGCCAAGAGTATATATCGGATTTCTCAATGGAGTCCATGACCAAAACCATGGAAGAAGCACTGCTCTGAGTGTGCAGAGTTCGGAGAGGAGATGATTTGGCCGTGGTACAGAGAAGGAAGATACTGTCCTGGGAAAGGCTGACGGGCTTCTCCTCACTAACGCTAACTGGGTTTTTGTACCTGTCTTCCCCCTCCAGGAGAAGAGAGTGTGCTGCCTCTCTTGACGCAGGACTCTAACTCCAAAGCTCGGAGGGGTATTTTAAGAAGAGCTGTTTTTTCTGAGGATCAGAGAAAGGCTCTGGAGAAAATGTTTCAGAAGCAGAAATATATCAGCAAAACAGACCGAAAGAAACTTGCCCTCAGCTTGGGACTAAAGGAATCACAGGTACTAATGAGCAGGAAGATGTCCACTGCTCCTGATTTCCAAAGGAATACAATGAAATCCATGCATTTGGCAATGTCTGTTGTACTAGGTATGGTGCTGGACCCTAAAGCGTTACTGAAATGATTTTCACAGTTGTTGAGTGGGTGGAAATATATGTCACAATTGCTATTTGAAAATAGGTCCATTTGCTGAGAGGTCTAGGTTTTTGCATGATTAATTCTCCCCAAATGAAGAGAACCACTAAGGATGTGGCATTTACATCATTAGTTGTTTGGTTTCAGAGAAGTAGACCACATAATCTACAAAAGCAGGAACCAATTTTCCTGTCTTTTTCTTCATTTCCAATCCAAAATCCAGTCATAAATGTGTGACTCATAAATACCTTCAAATAAGATTTCATTACTCTGCACTCTGAGCTTATGTCAAGTACAGTAAAGTAGTTTCATATTTGCAACACCTACAAACCTTTCTTACACATTAAGGTACTAGTATTTTATGACTAATCGTTTTATAATCACTGTATAAAATAAGCACCATAATCGTCCTCATTTTCTAGATGAGGAAGTGTAGGGAAGTAAACATGGGTCTGATGTCATGTAGTGAAGCTGCTTTGGAGCTGGGCTCTCACCCTAGGCAACTTGACTCTGGAGTTTGTGTTCTGTTTAACCTGGAGCTATCATGTATCGTTGTGTAGGATATGCACTGCACAAGGGCACAAGGGCGAAGAGGCATGGCAGCAACTGAAATGTAGCAGGTGCTCCGCCTGCCAAACTGGCTTTCCTGGTGCAAGGCTACATCCACCTGGATTTTTTTTTTTTATGTTATGTTAGTCACCATACATCATTAGTTTTTGATGTAGTGTTCCATGATTCATTGTTTGTGCATAACACCCAGTGCTCCATGCAG